TGTGAGCAAAACAACGTTTTAGTGGCACTATATCCACCACATTCCACGCATCGATTGCAGCCTCTGGATGTCTCCGTATTTGGGCCTCTGGCTAACTTCTACTCCCAAAACCTTGATGAATGGATCCTAAGGACTAGCGGCCTTTCTCATCTATCAAAACGAGAGTTTTGGAGTTTGTTTTACCCTGCATTTCAGGCTTCCTTTACAGAAGAGAATATTGAATCTGGATTTCGCAAAACAGGGCTCTCCCCACTAGACGCGGAAGCTGTCTTGTAGCAGATCAAACAGAGGCCTACTAGCAGCAGTGACTCAGCTAAATCTAGCCTCTCTGACATAGATTTGAGCAAAATTCGCCGTGCTGCACGTCAGGGTGCGAAGCAAGGTGCGAATGAGGTTATTACTAAGTCGCTATTGCCAAAACTGATTGATCGAGTGGAGCGCGCAGAAGCTGAGAACCAGCTTCTTAAATCACGTTTAGCAGCTGCTGAGTCGACTATTCAGCTTGAGAAGAAGCGCCGTAAGCGTGGCAACCCATTATTCAACAATCTGTTTGAGATTACGGAAGGCGAACCGATGTTCTTTAGTCCTGCGAAGATCGCGGCTGCACGGGAGAAGCAGGAGGAGCAGGAACGCACTCAACAAGAAGCTACAGCACAGAAAGCTGAATCTAAGATTCAGAAACGGCTTCTAAAAGAGGCAGCGCAACAACATGCAGCTAATAAGAAGGCTGAACGGCAGAAAGAGAAGTTATGCAGAGAGGCCGCACGCGAGGAAGAGAAGCAGGAAAAGAAGGCCATAAAGCAACTACAGCAGAAGTCTAAACAGGCCTCAAAACAGCGCACACGTAACAATAAAACAGCTCCAAAGAAGCCTCCAGAGAAGCAATTATCGCAGCAGCAGGATATTGTTGAGATCTCATCAGATGAAGGCGTTGGATCGAGTTCTACGGTTGCGCGACCTCGCCGCAAACAGCGGCTGCCAAAACACCTCCAACATGAAGATATCCAGATAGAACCATTTGCGTAGATATAATTAATAAGACTACCAAGTTTCGTAACAATTAATATTGTTGTAGTTAAGATATTTTTAATAATTTGTAGAGGGAGAAATTGCGGCTCCGACCGTGCACGATCTGCGACCGTGCACGGTCTGCGAAGGCCTTCTATAGGTCTAGCCTCGCAACCTTAGAACAACCTCAATTGCAGTTGCAAGCTGCCTTCAAAGGTGCAACTCTGGGATCTCTTTGGAAGTGTCACCATATGCTTATGAAAATGCAGAGTGGGCTCCTCCGGAGTGAATGCACCTTTCGTTCACACGAGTGTACGTTCTCGCCAATCAGATTGTGTGATTGTGGCACCAACAACCTGCGCGGCTTGGGTGGGGGGGGGGGCAGTGCTACGAAAACGAGAGCACCCGGACTCCGTGAGAACTACAGTATTTAAAGTCTGAACATTGACTCTATTTCGTTTTCAAGCCCACATCACAAAGGCTCGCGTCTCCGCCACGTTTTCTTGCTTTCAGCTCTCTTGGCAACTTACGGTTAGGCAACTGCGAGAGGCCGCAAGGCCACGAGGAGGCAGGTAGGCAGTGACTTTTAACATTGGATACTTATATCCCACATTTCTACGAATCGAGGAGACATCTGAAATTACTTGCCTGTCTGCAATTGAGTTTTTTTCCGATATCATTGTCTCACAGTAACCCGAACTCGTCACCGTCACCCTCTCAGAATCATGGCTTCCCCTTACCACGGCCATTTCGGCATGCATGGCCGTATATGCGGCATGTACTACACCTGTCGTGGTGCTACCACAAATGGAACTGAGCTTTCTTCTCTTCCCCTGGTCGACATTCAGGCTCACGCCTCTATACTGTCATTCACCTCACGCACAGTCCTTAAACAGACCTTTATCAACCCATCCGAAACGAAAGGCATCAAAGAGCTCAGATACATGTTTCCGTTGCACGATGGAGTCAGTGTCGTGGGCTTCACCTGTCGCATCCGCGATCGAGTCATCGTCGGCGAAGTGAAAGAGAGAGATAGGGCGAAAGCCGTGTTCAAAGAGGCTGTAGCCAGAGGGGAGACAGCAGGATTGTTGGAGCAGCTAAAGGAAGCTTCCGACGTTTTCACAACGACCATAGGAAATGTCCCACCAGGAGAAAGAGTGGTTGTTACCCTGACTTATCTCGGAGAGCTCAAGCATGACATGGGCGTTGACGGAATCCGGTACACCATCCCTACCCACATATGTCCACGATATGGAGTCGTGGGTCCTGGAATCGAAGGCGAGCGAGCGCCACAGGCTCAAGGGAGAGGAATCTCTATCACCGTCGACGTAGAGGTTGGGGAAGGTTCGATTATCCAGAAGGTCCAATCGCCCAGTCATCCCATTTCTGTTTCGATGGGAACAACATCCATTGCACCGGACGGCGACCCGAGTATGACGAAAGCCACTGCAAGTCTGAGTCTGGAGACAGCCGGGTTGGAGACTGATTTTATCCTCCAAATCGTTGCAAAACAGAGTGGCATACCGAGAGCGATTTTAGAGACCCATCCAAGGATACCGAACCATCGAGCTCTGATGGCTACCTTAGTCCCCAAGTTTGCCCTTCCTGCGGAGAAGCCCGAAATCGTCTTCATGGTTGATCGCAGTGGCAGCATGTCGGGGAGTAACATTCAGCTGACTATCCAAGCCCTCAAGGTCTTTCTCAAATCCTTGCCTGTGGGCGTAAAATTCAACATATGTTCCTTCGGCTCACGGTACTCGTTCCTTTGGGCACAGAGCAAGACATACACCCAGGAGACTTTGGCGGCGGCACTCACTCACGTCGAATTTATGGATGCAAATTTTGGGGGCACTGAAATGCTGCAGCCGCTGGAAGCGATCATCAAGCAACGGTATACTGACATCCCACTGGATGTCATGCTGTTGACGGATGGACAGATATGGAACCAGCAGGCACTCTTCTCCTCGCTCAATCGCGAGGTAGCCCAGGCGAAGATGCCAATGCGCGTCTTCACTCTTGGGGTCGGAAACGGCGTATCCCTTGCGCTGGTCGAGGGCATTGCAAGAGCAGGGAACGGATTCTGTCAGACAGTTGCTGATGGTGAGAAGATGGATTCTAAGGTTGTGCGCATGTTGAAGGGAGCACTCTCTCCCCACGTGCACGATTATACCCTGGAAGTGAAATACTCTGGGAAATCGAACGGGAATGAGGTCCCAGAAGACTATGAGGTTGTCGAGAAGGTTGCTGATGCCTTGATGACCAAGCTAGATCTGAAGGATGACGAAAAGACAAAGTCTCCGGTATGTCACCAACCGTGCGGTGCGTAATCCCTTGCTAATTACCATCAGCAAAAACCCATATCACTTTATGATGAGTCCGTCGACCCTGACCAAGAAGAAAAGACAGCAGATGATGACAGTGGTCAATCGAAATATGCGTATCTCCCCAACCTTTCAGTGCCATGCATAATCCAGACTCCGCAAAAGATACCATCCCTGTTTGCCTTCAACAGGACAACGGTGTACCTACTTCTCGGCCCTGAGTCTACCAAAATGACGCCGAAGTCAGTTATCTTACGTGGAACCAGCCAGCACGGTCCCCTCGAACTCGAAATCCCAGTGCAAGTGCTTGACACGCCTGGAGAAACAATCCACCAGCTCGCCGCTAAGAAAGCCATTGCCGAACTAGAAGAAGGCCGTGGCTGGCTCCCTGATGCAAAAGATGCTAAGACTGGTAACCCTGTAAAAGACCAATACCCGAGCCGCTTCTCCGACATGGTGGAACGCGAAGCGGTACGTCTTGGAGTACAGTTCCAAGTGGGCGGCAAGTGGTGCTCGTTCGTCGCTGTGGAGAAGAAGGATACGACAACCGGCCAAGAGGTGGGCGAGGACTGGGAATGGCTTGATGCTACTTACACACCCCCTGGAAGTGAGGATGGGAAGGGTGAGCTCACACCGGCCGACAGAAAGAAGGCAGTGACGGACAATATCAACAGACTTGTGGAGAGGGGCGAACATTTGCCTCCACGCACTGGTAATCTTTCTCTCTTTGGGAACGCCTCTGCAGGGAGATCACTCTTCGGGAGTAACTCAGTCTGGACATCGCCTCTACAAGGTTCTTTTGAATTATCTGCGGATGCTGCTCCCCCTCCCCCTCCCGGTGCTGGACCATCCCCCTTCGCCGGTATGCGCGCCGCACCAGCATGTCCTCCACCTGCCCAAGCGACAGGAGGAAGTTTGTTCGGTCGACCAGCTTCGGCTCAGCCTTTTGGTATGAATGTCGCTTCTTCCTCGGGACCTCCGAGTGCGTCACTTTTCGGCAGCGCTGCACCACCAACATCTCCACCGTCGGGATCCTCTCTTTTCGGCAGCGCTTCGACAAGTAGACCTCTGTTTGGTCAAGCCGCATCACCGGGGAGTGCTACCGCTCCGGCCCCATCGCTCTTCGGAAGTGCTGCACCACCTACGCGGTCGACTGGATCGTTCCTCTTTGGGAGTGCTGCACCGCCTACGGGGTCGAGTGGATCCTCCCTGTTCGGAAGTGCTGCACCGCCTACCAGGTCGGGTGGATTCCGACTGTTCGGAGGTTTCAGAGGTGCTGCACCGCCTACGAGGTCGACTGTGTCGTCCCTCTTCGGCAGCGCAGCAGCGGCAACGACTATACCGCCAAATCCCGCGTCCGGTCCCACCCCAGACGCGTCCCTCGACCGCATCATTGCCCTCCAGTCGTTTGATGGGTATTGGAATGGCACGCCTGAGTTGTTCTCCTTGCTTGGTGTCGCTCCGGAGAAGATTGCGGGTTTGCAATCGAACTTCAATTGTGAAGTGAAGGTACTGGTGACTGCCCTGGTGCTGGCATTCTTGGAGAGGAAGTTAGCGAGTAAGAAGGAGGTATGGGAGCTGGTTGGTGAGAAAGCCAGGGGGTGGTTGCAGGGACAGGGCGAGGGGGACATCGAGGGCTTGATTGGGAAAGTGGGAGGAGTTTTGGAAGAGTAATCAAGGTGAGGAGGAATACTGGGTGCGACTTGGATTGAGCATCGAGAAGATTGTGGTCACAGGCTTCTGTTTTTCTTTTGATGTGGGACCTTTGCTCATTTTCCAGACGTCGCTTTATTAGAGGAATTCGGATACCTATTGCGCTGTTATATTTTAGTGAGCCAAAACCTACGGGATAGGAAAGTCTTCACATATCTGCTTTTCAAATTTACCCTCCACACGCAAAGTTGATAGGCGCCCGTCAGAACCTTTCATCTGCCGTACAATCAGCATTCGCTAGCGGGATGATGTTCGAACAGCCCTTCGGATATACCCGATGGAGGTCTACTATCCCAAGCCAAGAACACAGGTGGACTAATGTAAAGAATGACCGCATATCATCTCCACCAGCTTTATCATCGAAGATGATTCAATGGCAGAGGCGGTGAGCGGGTCTTTTACTGATTACTCTAAGACAGTGAATACAATCGCAACTTGCAAGTTGCGAAAAAGGGCGGCGAGAGGCTCGCCTCCGGTTCACTGGCTTGGCGTCGCGGATGCGCGCTAACCCAATTCCGGATAACAAGCGCCATTTCCGATCTCGGGTCTACAACAACGTCCTGTAAGAGGTGCTGTGAAGCCGTGTAAATGTGAATGAACCCTCAAAATCATTCCCCTGGGACGGTTGCTGAGGGTCGCCTTTCAGGTGCTCCGGATAAGTACAAATGTCGTGCTCAAAAGCTTAATTTGGGCGGCTCGGCGAGGAAAGGATGTACCGCAGTAACATCCGAGCTTCGCGCCTGACGCCGCCGACGGGGGGTAAAAACTTCTCCCCACCACACCCAACGACCGTTCATTCACCATGCCACCATATAGTTGAGACCCAGTGTTCCCGCCCTCCAAAGGCGAGCTTCGTCGTATATCTCTACCAGCGCACCAGCGCCCCCAACCCTCACCTCATCCTTGCGCGTCCTGCTGCAGCCGTCCCGCCGAGAAAAAACTCAGACGTCATGGTACGCAACATCGTCGTCCTCGGGGGCAGCTCCCACCCGCAGCTCACGGAGACAATCTGCAACCACCTTGGAATCCCGCCGGCCAATATCCTCCTGGGCAAGTTTGCTGTTGGCGAGACGCGCGTGGAGATCAAGGAGAGCGTCCGTGAGAAGGATGTCTTTGTCATTCAGTCGGGAGGAGGGAAGGTCAATGACCACCTCATGGAGCTACTCATCACCATCTCGGCCTGCCGCACTGCCTCTGCCAAACGAATAACGGCCGTCCTCCCCTTGTTCCCGTATTCTCGACAAAGCGACATCCCGTACAATAAGACCGGCGCACCGCTTGCCAAAGGTCGGGAACACCGATCCAGGCAAGGCACGTACACATTTGATAGTCGGCCGCAGACTCCATATCCGGGTCAGCCGGAGAGTGCGGGCCTGTTCAATGGCACGCAGAGCCTGTCCAAGGAATTAAGCCGGTTGAAGATGGATGAGCGGAATGGACGCAGCCCCACCAAGTTCGATGCGCCTAGGAGGAGTGATACCCTCGACTCTTCCAAGTCAGACAAGTCGGCCGAGTCCTCAAAACTGTCGAACGGACCCGTCAATGGTGTGAACGGTGTTTCCAAGGCGGTCACGAAGATTCCGCCTTTCCAGCCCCAACCCGGCTATAGGCAGTGGGTGGCCCAGGCTGGCACGCTCATTGCAGACCTCTTGACCTGTGCAGGCGCAGACCATGTCATCACTATGGATTTGCACGACCCCCAGTACCAAGGTTTCTTCGACATTCCCGTAGACAACCTCTATGGTCGCCATCTTTTGCGCAAGTATATCCAGTACAACATTCCGAACTACCAGCAGGCGGTGATTGTAAGTCCGGACGCCGGAGGTGCTAAGCGTGCAACTGCCGTGGCGGATGCGCTTGGGATCCAATTCGCCCTCATCCACAAGGTAGAGGCCTCGGTTAGATGACCTTGGACGACTCAGTCGCTAAATCGGAACAGGAACGGCGCCCGACCCAGATTACCGATCGGCAGAATGCGACGATGATGCTTGTTGGCGATGTCAAAGACAAGACTACCATCCTGGTAGACGATCTCGCAGATACATCGAACACAATCACTCGGGCTGCCAAGCTGCTGAAGAAGGAGGGTGCTACCAAAGTGTATGCCTTGGTCACGCACGGTATTCTGAGCGGAGATGCGATTGACAGGATCAACGCGAGTGCCCTCGACAAGGTGGTCGTCACCAACAGCGTGGATCAAACCGAGCACCTGGCGAGATGTCCAAAGCTTGAGGTTCTGGAGGTCGGCAATGTTTTTGCTGAGGTAAGTTGCGCTCTACTGCATCATCTTACCATGACCTGCAGTATTGTCAACTTGGTTGCGTGATCTAACTTCTCCTCTAGGCTATCCGTCGTGTGCATCACGGAGAGAGTATCAGCGTGCTATTTGATTACAATTAGGCGCTACAATCTCGGATTTACATATCTGCATGGGGCGGTATGGGTGTCATAGTGTCCGTTGACTGGCATGCGAGATAGACGCTCTACACCTCCACATTCCCTTCATCTAACGGCACAGGCGGCGCAAAAGTCTTTTTTCCTTATCATATTGTACATCATCAATGATAGATGCTGTGCTTCCATCATCTTCACTACTAAGTAGTGTGCCATATGTTGGCGATGCTGGAAAAGCGGAACTGTTTATCCGCTAAGGTGCCCCTTGTACAGCAAGCACCTCAGACCAGAACTGTTGTATAGAAGTACGATACCATGTGAGCCAGCTACGTCAGCGGCCATATCAGCATGTAACAAATACTAGTTATTGACCTCCTCGCGAGCATGGAGCGTTGTGTTTCTGTCATTTCACGTGACGCTGGCCATCTTGGCATTCGTTCACCTGCCACATGCATCCTGCGCTCACCATTCCTTTCGCCCAACACGACTCACCGCCAACCATGCCTCACCGCCGCGTCTCCGGCATCGCAAATGGCGCAGCTATGTCAACATCTGCCGAACGAAGGCCAGTGAGCTGATTCCGGCGTTACCACAGTATTCGCCCCGAAGCTCCCTTAACGTTACATTTCCATGTGGACAGCATCGTCAATACAGTCGTCCCAAAGTAGACCAAAGTAGACGGAATAGACGTCACCGGCATCGATTAGCACAGCAAAAGCATTTGCGGCCCAGACTACGATCCGCAGTACACAGTATTGTAAACGCCAGGTTCTCTGTGATTGGGCAGCTGAGCGTCACGGGTGCTTGAGCGACAGCCCGGAATGTCTCCCTCCCCGCGTTTAGTGGACGCCCAGATAAGGCGGGCATCGTCAGTCGTCGTGGCTATTTATGATGGTTGGCTGTGTGGCGGTGTGCTGTTGGTCATAATCCTCCCTCTCAGCTTCCTGCACCTCGTCCTCTTCAACGAACTTGAGGGTCTCGCTGAGACGATATTTCGAGTTCTAATGGGTGCAAAATTGGCTGGAAATCATGCGTCTCCATGTTGCGCACTTTTCACAGCGAGAAAGGAGGTATAGATAACGAATCAGTTCATCGCGCGAGCCTCGTCGTTTTCGTAGGCGATGCATTTCAACGTAGAATCATGGATATGGTATTCTTTCGCCATGGGGAACATTGTTGCGAGACTGTACGTCCACTAGCGTGGCATCTGGGTACCACTATAGGAAAGCATGCGATAGTCTATCAAGAGAGCTGACTTCTGTTCGAAAATAACAGTATCTCACGAACACTCCTTCTCGGATCTCCGCTCCGTCTACAACACGACGATTTTGTAATGGGGCTCTTCATCACAACCTGCTACACTGTCCTAATTGTTACATCCAACGTTGAGATCAAGACTCGATCCAATCTCCTCCCTCCCGGTTTCGACATTACAGCCTTAACAGCTGAAGAGATATCGGATCGCCAACATGGAAGCAAAGTCGTCATCGTCGTGGAGCAGATGCAGATCGCTGTCATATGGGGCTGCAAGACCTGCCTCCTCATCCTTTACTACCGTCTCACTGGTTCTGTCGCTGCAAAGTCGTTCCTCGCCCTCAAACTCTTAGCCGCATATGTAGCACTAGGTTTCGTCGTGATGGAGGCTCTCTATTTCGCAGCCTGGTGTCGCCCGTTCAGCTCCTACTGGGCCGTTCCAGCACCAACTCCTCAATGCAATGCCCTCACCAACCACCGCATCACCAATGCCGTCTTCAACATCTCCTCCGACCTTATCATGCTCTCAATCGCACTCAGCCTCTTCATCCGCTCCATGCTGCCATTGAAACGCAAACTGATCCTGTGCGGGATTTTCAGCGTCGGCATCTTTGCCATCCTAGCCGCCGTGCTGAATAAGTACTACTCGTTTACGAATCCCTACGAACCCGACTGGGTCTTCTGGTACGTTAGGGAAGCTTCGACGGCGGTGTTGGTGGCGAATCTGCCGTTTACGTGGACGCTGCTGAGGAGGATGTTTGGGCTTGAGGCTTTTGATGCTGGCCCGGTGCCGGCGCAGATGAAGTACCATTCTTCACGGACGTCTGGCGGAAGACGTACGGCACGAGCGCGGCATGCTCATCAGGGAGGTTCGTTGAAAGAGATGCATTCGAATAGCCGAGGGAGTCGAGGTTCGCAACCAGCATCCTATCTTGATTCTATCGGCAGTCGACACCAAGGCAGGGAGACAAGTCACGCTCCAGACGCAAATGTCCAACGGCATGACTTTGTCCATTTATCTGCAGACATCGACTTGGAGCAGGGACTAGCACCGTCGTTGCAGAGCCCCAGGTTACACATTACGCACCAGTCACCATCTCGTCCCACAACCCCCTTACCTCCATCTCGAATATCATTGCAACTCAGTCCAGACGGTACAGGCGGCTTCATCACTCGTCCTCGTCACGCACATCTCTCAGCTGATTACCACCGGCCAGCGTCGAGGGCATCGAGTAGAGCGACTACATCTCGTCAACTTATGTCGCCGACGCCTTCGCATATCGGCAGTGTGGTTAGTGATAGAGGCTCGCATGCTGAGCCGGGATGTGGAGGTGCTGATGGGGAAAGTGGTAAAGTTGCAGGAGCAAGAAGTGCGGTGGATAGGAGGAAGAGGGGGAGGCTGAGTGCTTGAAACGAGGATCTTGTAGAAGGTCCATACCGGTGTTTGAGGCGTTTTGGATTGCAGGTTTAGGAAGATATACCTTGGGTCGGTGCCATTGTTCTTTCTGGGGCTTGTTATTCTCGGCTCACAAAATGTGAAGTCATGATTATAGCGGCAATATTAGTGGAAGGGCTGGTCTCGTTCGGGAAACAGGCCTAGATCTGCAATGTACATGTAGTACAGAGGGAAGCGGAGTACAGCATAGCCTGTGGTAGAGTCGCCTAGCTTCAGACTTAGAAAGTCGTCACTTATCATTATTACCGAAACTTTGAAAGTCACGCAAATGCAAAATAACCTCCGTAGGTATCATTAAATCAGACCAACACATCATCCCCTCCCATCCTGCCTACTGACACATGCCAGACACCACACTACCCGCCACCTCCGCTACCACCCTCACCTCCCTCCTCCCATCCTCCTAGAACGAACATCACCACATCATCTCCCTCCACCAACCTGCACTACCTCCAACCGATCCTTCACCAACCCCCTCCCCCTCTCCCCCTCCCTCTCCCTCTCCCTCTCCGCCCTCCCCGGCGTAAACAACTCAGCCCCCAAAACCATCACCGCAGGCACAATCGCCGCCTCCACCGTGCCCCTCCTCTTCCTCCTCCCTTTGCCCGCCGCGCTCATGGAGAGCTCGATCCTTGGTTCGGGCCGGGGCGGCGTCCGGTCCGGTTGCACCTGTAGAGGAGAGGTGCTGGAACCCGAGGAATGCCGGCGGCGGTGGAAGGGGGAGAAGGAGTGGAGGTGGGATTTGGGGTTTCGTGATGGTGATGTTGGGCTGAGGGGTGTGGTGGTTGTTGTGGGAGTGGCTGGGAGGGGTGGGAGGGGGATGTTGATTTCGGTGTAGAGGGGGGTGGTGTTGTTGTTGTTGGAGGAGTAGGGCGGATGCTGTGAGGGATTTGGCGTTTTGGGTGGAGATGGATGTGTGGAGGAAGGTAGTTGTGTGCCGTCTTGTTTCCGCTCTGCAGTTGCGCGCTGGGGCGATGTCTCGTCGAGGTGATGTACCATCGTGGTTTCCGGCGGGGGAAAAACTGGACAAGATGTGTATAACTCTCACACAGTACTCCACAGCGAACAAAGGGTTTATGATCGCAAATCCGTATATAGATAGATAGATAGTAACAGAGCTGCACAAGGGAATCCAACGAGTGAGTATTCACAACGATCAACAGGGAAGCAGGAGGAGGTCTCGCAAGAACCTTGTCTCCATACCCCTCAGCTATATAACCACCGTCAGCCTGAACTCCGTGTCCAGCTGACCATCTTTCCCATCGCGGCTGAGTTCGTAGTGGAAGCTCAGGCGGCCTTAATAAGTCAGGGTCGTAATCGTAAGCGGAGGTGAGGCGTTGAGGCGCAGCATTGTGGCGCTGATGCCTCTTCTGGGTATCCTATCCTGGGGCGCGAAGGTTGGAGCGGTAGGAATTCTACTGGACGACCGTATTTGTAAATCTGGAAATTTTTGGACGGGAATTCTCGGGGGAGTTTTTAAGTGATGAGTGACGTTGGAGTTTGGGAAGTGAATGCCATTGGTCACGTGACCTGAATTTCCTCGGCCCGGGGATTTCGTGTCTCTCAATGTTTTGCACGTGGAAAATTCTTATCCTCGGGTGGAGGCCATTTTTGATAGCATGTGGCCGTGGCTGTGCGTGCGTTGCGGCGCTACTCCCGTCCGTTGTCTCCTCTGATGATGACATAAGAATGAGGGGGGATTGCCCGAGACCGCTTAACTGATACAACTTTGACCTGGCGCGGCCAAAAAGCGGCCAATCAGAGTTTTCACTAAGTATGGAATTCTTGGAGCTGAAAATGAACGCCCTGATCTGGTTCATACCGGCGTAGATCATGACATGGTCGCAGGTTTTCCTGACGATGTTGACGAATCCAATGGGCCCATTCCCCGCGCGATGGAAAGAAGCTAGGGACGACTCTGCGGGTAGGGCCGCACCGGCGACAATGCCGCTGGCGCTAGATTGACAGCGCACACCTATTCGAGGATTTCGCGTTCCATTCACGTGTAAGAGACTAGCGTAGACGTTCGTCTGTACCTAAAGTGCTTGTGATCTCCATTAGTGCCTATGTGCCCTAGATCTAGCGTCTTACGATCCGATCACAATGTGGCTTTGTAAAGGACCCATCTGTTAGGATCCGGTTTTATTTACTGTGTATCGAGTAGCAACCAACCACCTCTTTTCGATTTTCATACCTAAATATTGGAAGCACAACGTCACGTCCTCGAGTTATGTCACCTTCATGTATCGCAACAGTGCCCAGCATAGGTGGATTACATATACACGCCAATCTCAGATTCCCTAATCTTGTATGAGTCAACAGTGTAGCATAACCCTACGGCGAATGACTTCGGCTTTTTTTTTTTTTTTTCGCGTGGAACGGTGGCAATGAGGTTCACGTGCTTTGCTGCTACCATCTGGTACTGACGATCGACGTCTCCGTCCGCATACCTAGTTCCTTTAAGTGACAATCAAATGTTCAGTAGTGCGGTTCCGTCGGCCTTTCGGCGGCTCTGTCGGCCCTCTAGCAGTTGAATCGATGTAACCACTGCAATAATGATGTAGACGGGTAGGTACCCAGGGGAATATAAAGGCCTTCCGCTACCGCAAAGAAGCATTCCCCGAAAATTCTCGCGAACTTTCTTCCCAAGTTAAAATAGTGACAGCTGTCAAACTCCCAACCCCCAGCTCCATTTCTTTACTGCTATCAATCATGGCGACCTTCAAAACGGATTTGCCAATGACTCAAGTGCACGTTGACGAACAACGTGCTTCTGACGCCTCTTCCGGGCCTCTGGCTCTGGTCGACGATGAGAGACGAATTGGCACAGATCGGAGCACGTCACCCTCCGACCTCGAAATCGTGGACTCCTGGGAGCTGAAATGGCCCACCGACTCTGAGAACCCACACAATTGGGCCATCTGGAAGCGGATCTACCATGTCGCTGTGCCCGTTTGGTACGGGTTCACCGTGTAAGTGGAATCTGTCCAAGAATCATGAGTGTCGAATAGCTGTACTGATCCTCATGACAGCACATTTGGTATCTCGGTCTTTGCCCCATCTGTTTCCGACGTCACGACCGACCTCGATTGTTCGCGCATCGTAGCTCTCTTAGGCATTTCAGTTTTCACCTTCGGCCTGGGCTTTGGGCCCATCATCTCGGCCCCATTAAGTGAGAGGTTTGGTCGCAAATATGTGTACCTCGTTTCAGCCATTTTCTTCATGTTTTTCATTACGGGCGCCGCGCTTGCGCCAAACATAGGAGTTCTCTTGCTGTTCAGATCGTTGGCCGGGATAGCGGGCAGTCCTGCGCTTCCAGTCGCTGCCGGGACGAAGGCGGATGTCATAACGCGAAAGTCAATGGCGCTTGCCATGAGTCTCTTCATGATCGCTCCCTATTTGGGTTCTTGCTTAGGGTGAGTATTCCAACAATCTCTTCAAAAGGAGTGACGCTAACCAGGCATGTTCCCTCCCTCAGTCCCGTCGTGGGAGGCTTCGCAACGCAATACAAGGGGTGGAGATGGACCCAGTGGTCCCTCCTTATTGCGGCTGGGATTGTCGTCTTGATGGCGCTACCCATGAAGGAAACGTATAAGAGGGCAATCTTGAGAAACAGAGCGATCAAGCAAAGGTTCCGCTTCCGGAATCTCTTTCCTCCCGTGGAGTCTCAGCGAGGAACACGCTAATCCAGACCTCCGTGCGGCCCATCCGCATGCTTTTCACTGAGGTGAGCTCCCATGTGCACCCTTCAGGTAAATCATTGGACTTGGGCTGATGATCATACAGCCTGCCGTCTTTTGTTTCTCATTATACTCGGCCTACGCCTTCGCCGTTCTCTTCCTCTTCTTCGCAGCCTTCCCCTTCGTCTTCCAGAGGCCCCCGTACACGTTCTCCCTCTCCTATGCCGGCCTCCCTTTCCTGGGAACCGCATTCGGCGTGCTCCTAGGCGCCGCAGCGGTTATCCTCATCGATCGCAAGTGGTACCAAAAGCATGTCAGAAATGGCGACGCGACCCCAGAGCATAGGCTGTATAGTGCCATGTACGGGAGCATTGGAATCCCGGTCGGGCTGTTTTTGTTCGCCTGGTCCGCCGGCAAGGGGGTGCACTGGTCAGTCCCGGTGGTGGCTGGGGTGCCGTTCGGCATTGGAAATCTGTGCTTGTTTGTAAGTACGCGGGAATACTCCAGGTACCGTATGAGACCTACATACTCACGCTTCGTCCTAGGCTCCCACGGTCTTATACATGATCGACACCTACGGCCCCATGTACGCCGCATCCGCCATCGCGGGCAACGGCATCTTCAGATACACACTGGCTGCTGTCTTCCCCCTCTTTACTTTTGAGAGTACGTATCTTCCCCATCACCCGCACCTGAGGTTTCTCTATCTGACGTCTGAGAAGTGTACACCACGATGGGCACTGCCTGGGCTACCACTTTCCTCGGGGGCCTCTCGTTGCTCATGCTGGCGATTCCGTTCGTGTTCTTCAAATTCGGAGCTCGGTTCCGGGCACACAGCAAGTATCAGCCGCCCCGCAGGTGAAGGGGCAAAGGTTGCCTAAGTTGGTCAAAAAGGTGTATAAGTCGTTCAGACCGGGCCTATAAACTGTTCAGGAGCGTCTGTAGCGGTTCGAGGGGCTAAATTGTTCAGGACGGTCTGTATAGGTTCGAGGGTGTCTAAATTGTTCACGACAGCTGTGTAGGTTGTTCGAAAAGTTTGTCTTGTAATATCCAAAGAGTGCAGTGTCATCTGCTTAATACCAATAGATTCAGTAATACACTATCCTGCTGAGTGCCCAAGTGGGTTTGCGATGCTTGTGTCCAAGGAGGTACCTCCCTATTCTCGCTCCTTCCGCATCTGCTCTGATGACCTAACCATCTCTTGCCGCACACAAAATCGTTAGTCTGCAAAAACTCCCCCTTCCTTACATAAATTTTTCATTCAGTTCGAGGACGTAAAATGGATGCATCTTCGGAGATTTATCTACGGCTCCAACTGTGCCTTCTTCGATTACCGTTGACCGGAACTATGCACCATTGGCTTCTTACTCAAGAGAGGTCTTGAAAGCAAGGCCGGCGAAGTAGATGCGCAATCCAGATCACCTAAGTGCACATGCCACCTATGGAAACAAAAGGCTAACACTCCGCTGAAGAACCGACAGACAAATCGCCGCTGTCCAAACCCACGCCGAAGGGTACACTTACACATCTTTCCACGCACGTCGCACGCAGACGAGTACAGATACCGAGACGTTTATCGGACCTCCGAAGCCACTGAGTGGAGACCATTACAGTGCCACTGGGAGCGCGAGGATGACTGGGCATCAACCCCACACTTAGTTCACTCGAGGCTCACGATGCATTTGCGATCCGTATTTGCTCGTCCTCTTGCCCAGCATCGGAAGCATACATCGATATATCACCTCACAAGTGTTCAAGTACTCCTTACTCACGTCACTTCTGCGGAGATCGAACAGGGTGTGAACTCAAGAGTTGGGGCCATACCATTGGGGGTTTGGGCAGCCGCAACATGGGCCTGGATGTGAGACGGCCCGTGGTACGAACGTGTCCTTGAAGTGTGTCCGCGGCCAGTCAGGATTGGTCGTGGCACATTGCGGGAGGGGAAAAGAACGAATGTCGTCTTCGATCGCACTCCGTTGCGGTCCGATCGCAGGGGGTAGAAGTGGTGCTCGAGGGTTGACCCTCACGATTCCTCACAGGCGCTAACCAGATCTGTCATCCCTGACGGCCGCCCACGTCTGTCCTCGCTCCACGCTTCGCAGACACGTCACTCCACCACCATCCTTTTCATCAAAACCCGCTCTTTATCCTGCTCTTGTGCATGCCCCTGCATTGCCGAGTTCATTTGGTCGCAATTCGTGTTGTACAGATAGCGGCGCTGTCCGCGCTTCCCCACGCTGCCACACCACAGTCTCCACGTCCACGACGGACAGTAATCGACTGAGTATGCACAGCATCCGCCCAATGGGGACGCGGGCGGCCATGCTGCACCCATTGCTGCACCACGACTCCGGGTTAATACTGTTCCACGATGGCTGCATTGCGACAGCGGCTCCTGCCTTCTGCGAGTCCATTCAGTCAATCAGACGTGGCACCAGTCAGAGGAGGCCAAGACGCATCGTTCCAACCTCCTCTGCTACGGGAAAGGACATTTCTTGCTTTCCAGAACGTCTCTGAGCCCTGAATTGCGAGACGAATTGGCCTGGTTGTCTGCTTTATCGAGAGTAGGTCTTGTGACCGTGGGCCCCTCGATTCTACATTCAGTGCATCATCTTGCGACGCGCCTCTGTTCGGTTGTCTTTTTTCTTTTCTTGGATATCGACCTCAGTCCTTTTTGTATCTGGCGTACGCATACCTATCCAATCCCCCTCAGTTCCTCGACGCATGACTGTCATCTCCCGATTGCCCGTTGCTTCCTGTGTCCCGTGATGGATAGACGACGCCATTTCCACGTCTGACAACCTCGAATCTCGCAGATCTGGCAAAGTCAAATGGACGGGTGAACCTGGCAAAGCAACGACAATGCGTCAATTCGCAAACGTTTCCATCTCACCATGGACAATTAACCCGTACACAGGCGCGGCGACCAATACGTCCAAAAGCCCTTATCAAACCGTACTGACGCCACAACCGCTATATAGGAGAGTCATACTACCACCTGCGCCGGTTTTCTATCATGCCGACGTTGAACAAGTTGTCGAACCAAGTGATGATGACGATGATGAAGCGGGTGAGTCGGCAGGGTGACATGGTTCAAGCGCGCATTGATGAGGAACAGGTCCGTCCGGAGCACCTCTTTCGAACCAGGAGACTATAGCACCAGTCGTGGAATCTCCAGCCGAAGACTCCAGCGCACCTCCAGTGCCTGAAGGGGGCGAGCAGACTGCGGACAGCACACCAGAACCACCGCCTGCCTCCGAGCCTGCGGGTTCCAGCGGCGAAGGGCAAACCGAGAAACCACTTTGTGAAGAGCCAGCGCAGGAAACTGTAGCTACTGGTGGCGATGAGGCTTCTCCTGAGGTCACGAGTGAGCCGCCTGCGGAAAGTGGACAGACTGAAGAAGCTGGTAAAATCGGCACAGGCAATGCCAGCGGCGACTCAGTACCAGCAGAGGGCTCGCTCACTGTTGAAGAAGTTATTCAGCCTGATCCCCAGAGCACTGCCGATGACAAGGAAGGGGGCGTAGCTGTAGCAGCTGAGAAAGCAACGTCCATTGAAGTGCCTGAAGGCGCTCCCAAGGAAGCATCTAACGCCGATCCTGCGCCGGACCCGGTTCCTGTGACGAAGCCAGAGGAGCCATCTGCCCTGCAAGCCGAGAAGAGTGGTGAGTCTGAGCTAGCGGTTCCACAATCCCCCAAGCCTCACGCGGAGAAATCTGTCCATTTTTCGCCTGACGTCAAAGATCCAGACGCCGCCGATGGTACCAAAACCAAAGATGAAGGGAAGAAGGGCAAGTCTAGTAAAGCAAAAGCTAAACCCAACGCTTTCATCCGAATCAAGCAGCCCCCACCGCCCCCAGCCGCATCATCCGTGAAAGAGGATAAGAAGAAAGGTGTGGACAAGGGCCACAAGAAGAAGCACGACAAGGAAGCTACCCCTTCGTCCCCCAGTGAGGAAAATAAGAAGTCACCAAGTAAGGACGAGAAGAAGAAAGTCGCTGAGAAGGAGTTCTCACCACCCCCGGCATCAAAGAAGAAGCTCAGTAAAGCCGAAGAGCGAAAGCGGAAGAAGGAAGAAAAGAACAAAAAGGGCAAGGAGAAGAAGGGTGATAAGGGAAAAGCAGGCTCGACAGTCAGTGCCGACAACATCCCGGCTGCAGAGGAAGATGCAAAGAGTGATGCGCCTGAAAGTGCAGGAAGTGAACCTGCCCCGGAAGCGCAGCCAGAGCCGCCCGAAGTTGCGGAGAAGCCACCGTCTTCCGTGAAAGACCCTGCCGAGCAGGCTGCCGCCGACTCTCCAGAGCCTGAGCAAGCAGCTGCTGAACCTACCGAGGCACCCACCGAAGAGGTCGTACCTTGTCCGGATTCGCAAATAGCCCCTCCGGAATCATCTTCGGATGCATCAGCAGATAACTTGGCAGAAGAATCGCCAGATGCCTCGCCAGATGCCTCGTCAGAGCCACAACAAACTCCCTCAGAACCCCAAGACCTGCCTTCTGAAGCTCAGAGTACCACCCTTGATACCTCAAATCCACCTCCAAAACCAGAAGATGAACCGAGGGAGGGCGATAGTGGCGAGGTCCACCTGAGTGAGACAATTGAAGCTGCTGAAGAAGTCCCCGAAGGAACTGAACAGTCTGTAGTGCTCGACGAAGCTCCTGCTGAAACTGACGAGTTCCCTGACAACTCTCCCGAGCAACAAGAAGGTTCCTCAGCGACCAATGATGTCCTCACGGAAAGCCCCGATGCAGCAGTTGAATCCAGATCAGAGGGACATACCGTTCAGCCGGATGAAAAAGATAAGGATGTAGAAGAATTAGTAGCAGACATTGCTGCGGAAGCCGACATCTCCGCGTCTCCCGCTGAGCAAGCGCCGTCGGTTCAAGGTGAGGCGGCAGAAGGCTGTCCTGAAGATGCACAAGCCGGAGGGGACGCCACTGCATCTGAAAACAGTGCTGCCATAGACGTCGCAGCAGTGGAAACTGCGGAACTCACCGCTGCCACAGTTGATGATACCGCGGACGACGTCCAACACGAGAGTCCGGAATCCACCGATCCGGTGTTGGAAAATCTTGACATGGATGCAACACCACCAGGTGCTGGGCCTGAAGTGGCGGCTGCCGACGCAGAAGCGGCTCAGGACACGCCTTGTGACGCAAGCGGTGAAGAAGAACTAGCAGCAGGTAGTGGTGTTGATGAACAGAAGCCTGTCCGCGCCAGCGAAGAAGTTACTGTTCCCACTGAAGAAGTCACCGCCCCCGCTGAAGAAGCTGCTGCTGCCACTGAAGAAGTTAATGCGCCCGCTGAAGAAATTACCGCTCCCGCTGGAGAAGTTACTGTTCCCACTGAAGAGCGAACTGCTCCCACCGAAGATTCTGCTGCTCCCACCGAAGATTCTGCTGCTCCCCCTGAAGAAGTCGCGGGCCCCACGAAGGAAGTTGCTGCGCCCGATGAAGAAGTCACCGCTCCCGCTGAGGAAGTTTCTGTCCCCACTGAGGAGGTTACTGCGCCCGCTGAAGAACCAGCTGTTCCCACCAGGGATTCTGCTGCTTCCCCTGACGAACTCGATTCCACTACTATCCCTGCTGTTGAACCTACCGACGCTGCCGAACCTGCCGAACCTGCTGAAACTACTGCTCCTACGGAACCTGTTACTCCTGCCGACAAACCCGCTGCGTCTGCAAACGAGCCTGCTGTTACCCTCGACGAACCTGCACAAAACGAGGAGAAAAGCAACCTGACTTCGAATGCGGGTGTGCCTCTATCTTCGGAGTACAAACAGGAACCCATGGTCGACGCCAGTTCTGATCTTGCTGATTCCAGCGAGGAGCCCGAGAATGCCCAGTCGCAACCTGAACCAGAAGTGGCCTCCGATTTGCCTCCTGGTAAGTAAGATTCTATCTTTGTTAGTCTTGTCCTGGTTTCATTCCCTTGACTTGACTGGCACTCTGGTCACGTGGCTTCGGGCTTCGCCAAGTCCTTGTCGACGGTCTACCTAGGTACTATGCCCAGGCATATGCATGCAGGTTTTCTGCACCCACCACTAGCGCATATGCTGTCATTGGGCTCACTATCCGATCGGGCACCGTCTTATCTCATCAACGACCCACTATTCCGTTTCTGGCGGGTTCGATTTCTTCCTCCCTTCACTTACACTGTTCTATCGTATTGCATTCTGTCTCGCTGGCATGCGCTTCCTCACAATCTATATGTTTGCTTCAACTACGCATAACTGGCCTGCGCTCTGACCTTCTGTCTAGAAACGTTGCCCGCTCCTAATGGGCCGGATCCCGACGGAGTGTTAAGAGGCGAACCCAGCGCTACTGCAGATGAAGAGTCTCCGTCCCAGCTAGCAATGGAGGAAGATGGTCCTACTGTGATAGTGCACAGTACGGATACAGAGCCCGTCGCAGCGGGGCAAGACGAGGCAACTGTGGACGGGGAAGCCGCCAAAAACCCGAATATTGGAACCGTGGAGAACATGTCTCAAGTTGCTGAAAGCGAGAACAACTGTTCAGGAACGACGGTCGAGGGCGAATCCACCGGTGACTTGGCCTTAGATGCCTCCAATATGACGCCGGATTCAGGTGAAGACAGTCGTGACGAGGCGGGCAAAGAGAACGCCGCAGCACCCGGAAACGAACAGTTTGGTGAATCCGTTCAAGAAAATCTGGCGGAGCCTGCTGCTGTGACGGCTCAAGACGCTCAGGCAGCCAATGATGTGAGGGCAGCGACACAAGAAGGTGAGACCGAAAATGAGGAGGAATCTTCGCCAATTGTTTTGGAATCTCAGAGCCTGTCGGAAGCTGCAAAAGAAGAGGCTAGTCCGGGCGGTGGGAACGAGGAAGGCTCAAATGACGAGCCACTTTCGAAAAGTGCTGATGCGGATGTTATTGACCAACCCGCTGCAAACGAAGAAGCGGATATCACGGAAGCTGCACCCGAGACTCGAGCCGACGGTGTGGAACATGAATTGGAAGACCCTGCGCCAGCGTCTATGCTGCCCGCATCCGCGCAAGAAACTAGCAATCCAGCGCACCAGGAGACTTGCAACGACGGCTCCGGCGACACAAAGGACATGGTTGCGGATGATCAAAGGGAAGTGACGGCAGCTGATGCAGGAGAAGCTGAACCAGCTGAGAAGGTACAAGGTACAGCAGAGGGCTCTGAGACGCCAGATACCCCGTCGGCAGCAGAACCTAGATTTCCCGATGAACCCGTTGAGCCCGACAACGACCCGCCCACCGTGGCAGAAGATGAGAGCAAATCTGACCCCGCAGCTGCTTCCGAGGATAATGCGACTGCCAATGTGCATATCGAAGGTTCGCCAGCAGCGGAGCCGTCAACTGACGAGGGTGCGTCTGCGGAAAACCAAGATCAAGACGCAGAGGTTGAGAACATGTCGCCTGAAGGCATACTTCCCGAAGCAAGCGGGCGCGATGAAGTTCGGCCTGAGGAGGTATCAAGTGCGGAGACGGAGCTGCAAGACGCTGATCCCGCAAGGACCGATTCTGAAGGCACCCAAACTGAAGAAATGCAAACTGCGGAGGCACAACCTTCGGTCATCCTACCCGAGGAAAGCCAACCCCAGGAGAACGAGTCCCAAGCGGCGCAGCCTCAACAAGAAAAGGTACTGTCTGAGGGTTCTGGGAACTCTGGGACTGAGGAAGGGGCGACAGACTCGACGCAAGAGCAAGCGCCGACCAAAGATCAGCTCGCCGTTGAAGGGACTACTGAAGACGGAAAGACGGAAGCCACGGGAGGAGAGAACCCACAGACAGAGGACGAGCAGGTTGGGGAGCCTCAAGAGCAACCTGCTTCAGTGGAAGCCCCAACTGATGGTGCGGCTGCTAATACGGCGCAAGTTGAGGAAGAGGTAGATATACGGCCGCTGGAAGAAATCCGAGACTTGGAACCGCCATCTGTGGAGAAAGAGGAAGTTGAGACACCTTCGCATGAGTCTGTAGAGAAAGATGTATCTGATGACAACACTGCTGAGGAACCCGCTCCAAAGGAGGAGATCCCGACCGAGGACACTCACTCTGAGCCACCGGCGGAGCATGTGGAAGAGGACACATCCAATCAGGACAGTGTGCCGGACGCAGAGCAATCTGCTCAATCATCACAAGATGAGACAAACACGGAGCCCAGCGCTACTTCAACCGCGGAATCTACCATTCCCACAGATTCAAACGAGGACATGCCGGTTACGAATAAGACTTCTGAGCAACCTATTGCCGAGGGAAACAGCAGCCACTTCAGAACCGCAGATGCAGCAGATGATATGCAGGAGCAGGAGCAACCCAAGTCAGGTGAGCCCTTGGCTGCTGCAGAGGGAAGCAATGAGGACTGCTCTCGTTCGTCGCAGCAAGCAGACGCCACAGAAGAGGCGTCTCCTGAGTTAACCGAACAAGCGACCCCTGACGCTGTGGTGGAAGAAGACTCAATTTCGTCTCATAGTGAACCTCCGATTCCAATCCAAGCAGAGACTGCAGGAGCGCCGGAGTCTAGTGAGGACACCGAAGAGTCGTCAGACCCACAACCTGTTTCTGAAGATAATATACCTCAACCCCAACCTGTAGAGGAGCCGCCAGCAGCTTCTGAGACTGACCTCCCGATGGCGGCCGTCGACCAGGCTGCCGTGGAACAAGAAGATAAACAGGCAGATTCCCTCAAAGTAACTGCAGATACGCCTGAATTAGGTGAGTGTTAATGATTGATTGACACCCCATCTCCCCAGGCTCGGTCTGGATCAAATGAAATTTCGGCCCCTAACCTTTTCCCCAGATCCCGTTGAACCCGAGGTGTGCGACATTTCGGACGCGCCGGTTCGTGAGCCAGATACACCAGCAGTAGAACCTGTAGAAGCGCAAAAAGAATCTCCAGAAGCGTCAACTGCGACGAGCGCAGAACAAACCATGGAAGCGGACAGCAAAGCCTCGGAAACTACGCCCGATAGTGATGCTAAGAAAGAGCCTATACCAACCTCGCAGAACGATCCGTCAGGTGAACATGAACAGATATCCGATCCACCGCAGGTCGTCAAAGAAGCTGTCAAATCCGTAGAAGAGTCGGTTTCGGAGCCAAGTGTTGAAGGGGGACAAGAAGAAGCAATTCCCCGGGCTGCTGAGGCCTCGGAGGATACCGCGTTCCAAGCAACCAACGGGGAACCTGCTCCGTCTACTGAACTGGCAGCGACCGACAATGCGGGCGACGGAAAAGACAAGAATGAACCTGAAATCACTGAGAACCCAGAGGGACATGCAGCTGGCGGTAATGGGAAGAGTAATCGTCCTGATGCGGTTGCTGCTGAGCAAGAGAAAGTCGAGGACAGCTCTGCCGGAGTTGGCGAGGTCGAAGTCAGGACAACCGAAGGTGCAGCCCAAGATGAGAAATCTGACGGTGTGCCGTCAGATGAGGCGTTGCCAATTACAGATTCTGTGGAAGAGGGCGCCGGTGATGTCAGCATCGTCGAAAATGCCACAGCAGCACCAGAAGGAAAATCGACAGATGACTTAGCGCCAGTCGCAGACCCATCCGTGGAAGTCGAGACGACTGCAAAGGAACCAGTAGCCGTGCAACCAGGCGGCGATACGGCTCCCGAGCACGCAGATGATATGCCGATCGCCGCGGTGGAGATTGTTGCTTTAAAGGAGCCCGAGAAAGGAGGAGAGGACGAGTCTCAGGTTAATGAGAAGGCGGTACCTGGTACGCCTCAGAACGAAACAGCGATAGTCGACGATCCAAAGGCCGAAGGGTCTCCAGCGATGCCATCGAGAGAAAAGCATCGGCGACGGCACTCTCACAGTCATCGCGATGGAAAGCACCATTCCCATCATTCAAACAAGAGACGGGAAAGCAATGCTAGTACAGCTGAACGCCCTACACTCAACGGCATGGCACTTTTAGCTGCAGCGAAATTTGCTGGGTCAGCGAGGAAAAGACGCGATAGTATCACCGAAAAGGACTCGAACAGAGACAAGATCAAAGTCAGAGACTTCGAGACCGAAAGACTAAAAGGCAGTAGCAGCAGAGATCGAGAACATAGGGAGCGATCACACCGTCACCGCGACAGGGGTGACGAGAAGGAGAGAAAGCGCCGTACTCTCCAAGAAATGGAAGAGGACGTTGAAAGGAGGAAGCGCCATGAAGCGCGGCGGGCAGAGCGCGCGGAACGGGAACGGATTGCACGGGCAGAGGAGGCTGCCAGAATACAAGCCGAAGAGGAATCCCGCAGAAGGCGAAGGGAAGAAAGGCTTCAGGAGGAAGAAGAGGCCCGTAGGAAGCGACGGGAGGAAAGGCGTGCTCAGCGAAAGGCTGAAGAAGAACGTCTAAGGCTCTTAGAAGAGGAGAGGATTGCGAAGGAAGAAGAAGCACGTCGTATACGACATGAAGAGCGAAGAAAACGGCATGAGGCCGAGAAGGAAGCAAGGCGACTGGAGCGCGAGAAGGCTGAGCAGGCCGAAAGAGATGAGCAGGAAGCGCGTAGGCTACGCCGCCAACGCAGGGCAGAGCGCGATAAACAGCAACGTGCTCTTGCCACAAAGGAACCCGAGGAACTCGAGCGGCCTCGCACTCGTGACGCTACTCGACGGGCTGCTGAGGAAGAGGAAGACGATGTCGCGCCACCTACTCCTGTCTCACCCAGAGCACCAACGCGGCGGCACACTGGCGAGCGAACTAGAGAGCCGCCACAGCAGAGCAGAAGGAACAGCTTGTTGGGCGGAATCGCCTTGTTTGGCCGCTCTCGAACGGAACCCGCTGTGCCCACTTCGAAGCCGATAAAACCTGTATCGAGGGTGAGGACGGAGCCAATAGACGACATGAAGCATAAGGAAAGACCGATAAGTAGTCATCATTCCTCAAACGGCAGCAGGGAACGAGAGCGACATCACCGTCGCCACTCACACTCACATCATCACCGTCAATTCAAGTCCGCAGAGGAGGAGGAGGAGGAGTACCTAGCCCGCAAGGAAGCACGGCGGGCAGCTCGTGCAGCCAAAGAACAAGAAATGGAGATGATTGGGGCGAACGATGGTGGTGTACCTCTTGCTAGTCCTGTGGAGGACAGCGCTCGACTTCCGCCAGATCCTGTGGAAGCTGAGCCAGAGGTGAACAGGCCGCGATCTCTTTTTGTCGATGAAGCAGCAGCTGTGGTGGGAATTGGTTCGACTTCGTCCGGTGAACGTCGCGAACGTAGGAGGACAAGTCGCCGGATTTCAATCGTGGAGAATGAGCGGCCGAAGAGCAGACGCATATCTGTCACCGAGAAAGAACGACCTGTGAGTCGCCGCTCAGAGTCAGACCGCCCCCGTACTCGCTCCGGCGAGGAGAAAACACGCGAACGGCCAAGAAGAAGCGAGACTGAGCGAAGCAGCCGCAATAAGAAGAAAGACGAAGGCGGATTTAAAGGCTTGTTTGGGGGCCTGAAGAAGATTATGGCGTAAGCCTGTTCAATAGTCCTACAGAGGGTCCAATGGGTACAGGTTGGGAATCGAACATACGCGTGATAGACGACGCTTCTCACTCAATGGCGTCGAAGCGTGATCGATTCAGACGGAGAATTAGAATTTTATGTCTCTTCACGTCGAGCTCTCTTGTTATCGCGGTTTGGGATGGGAGGGACTTTTGTATCATTAACATTTGTATGCGTCGAGGCTTGCCAGATTGGCTTAGCCCATGTTACGAGACTGTTCCTTCTCAGACTGTATTACTTTCCGGGTATTGGTTTTGGGTTGAGACAGATCCACTGGGGTAGGATTATTGCGAGCTAATGAATCCTCACGAGTTATTTGTGGTCAAAGATTGCTCGATTATGGGGAGAGACGACAGGCGTAACGTGAGCGGCAAGCGAGTCGGTCAGGTAAGCGAGTCGGTCACTAAATGCAGCCCTCCACCTCCGTACATGAATATCTCAACACCACAACAAGCTATTGCAGTGCACTATAGCTTAAATTAATCCTCTACCTCTACTGCATCTTTCTTGCATGTCCGCTTGTTGTGCCCTGGCTCACCACACTTCTTGCAGCGTCGAATGACCTCTACACTAGCACCCACTTGCCCTCTCTCCTCACGCCTCTCTGCCTCAAGCTGAGCCTCAGCATTCCTCTGAGCTACTATCACCTCTGCTTCTGCCTG